CTGTGGCTGCGACTGGTGAGGCAGTGGACACAACAAGCTAGGAGTAAGGCCAGTAGAAGAAGGGAGACTAAGAACCTGGCGAAGGACCGAGTTATGTGGTGGCAGAGGCGATGGCGGCGGCGGAACAAAAAACGGGCGCCGCTGCACAATGCCTCCAGCACCAGTACCGCCAGCTCCAGCACCCCCAGCGCCAGCACCTCCAGCTCCAGGGTCTCCAGCGCCAGCACCTCCAGCGCCAGGGTCTCCAGCTCCAGCACCTCCAGCTCCAGCTCCTCCGGCTCCAGCGCCACCAGCACCAGTGCCTCCAGCTCCAGGGTCTCCAGCTCCAGTACCTCGAGTATGAGCACCTCCAGGACCAGCAGCTCTAGCACCTCCGGTACCTCCAGCTCCAACAGTAACTCCAGCACCTCCAAGACTAGAAGCTCCAGTGCCTCCAGCTCCAGCTCCAGTGCCTCCAGCGCCAGCGCCTCCAGCGCTAGTGCCTCCAGCTCCAGGGTCTCCAGCTCCAGTGCCTCCAGCTCCAGGGTCTCCAGCTCCAGCGCCTCCAACTCCACCAGCTCCGGCAGCTCCAGTACCTCTAGTACGAGCACCTCCAGGACTAGCAGCTCCAGCACCTCCGCTACCTCCATCTCCAGCAATAACTCCAGCACCTCCAGGACTAGTAGCTCCAGCACCTTCAACTCCAGTGCCTCCAGCGACAGGGCCTCCTGCTCTTGCAGCGCCACTCCTAAGGCGTGTGCGCTGAGCAAACCACTCGCGCAGCTGCTGCGGTGAGAGAGGCTCTCGCTTGTGAGACAGTCGTGGCGAGGCACCCGCAGGACCTCCGGCAGACGCAGTACCCCTAGGCTCAGCACCCCAAGACTCCGCACCCTCCGACTCAGCACCCCCAGGCTCCACACCCTCATGCTCAGTACCCCCAGGCTCCGCACCCTCAGGCTCAGCACCCCCAGACTCCGCACCCTCAGACTCAGCACCCCCAGGCTCCGCACCCTCAGGCTCAGCACCCCCAGGCTCCGCACTCGCAGGCTCAGCACCCCAAGACGCAGCACCCCCAGACGCAGCACCTCTAGCAGCACCTAAGTCTACAGGGACCTCAACAGGCTCAGCCAGGGGGAGTGGGTCTACCTGAGACACACCTGAGGGAGCAGGACCCTGAGGGGGGCGGGGGTCTACCGGAGGGGGACCTGGAGCGAGGAAGAGCGGCGGGGGGGGGAGAGGGGCAGTGCGGTAGGGGAAGAGACGGTAAAAGGGAACCGACTCATCAAACGTGACGTCCTGAGAGGGAAGGACACGGAGCGAGGTGGGGTGGTAAAACTGCCAGCCAGGCGTGTCAGGGGGAAAGCCAAGGAAGACGCGGGGAATAGCGCGGGAGGAGAGTTTGTCCGCGGAAGTATCGCGGACAAAGGCACGAGAGCCCCAGACCCGGAACACCGACGCATCGCCAACCTTCCCCGTCCAACGCAGTGTACGCGAGGTCTTCGGCAAGGAGACACGAGGCCAGAGGTTGAGCTGATGCGCAGCGTACCGGGCCGCAAACGGCCACACAAAATGGGGAGCAGCCGCATGGATCATGGAGGTACGAGCCATCTCCATGACTAAGCCGATGCGGCGCTCAGCAACCCCATTTTGCTGCGAGGAGGCCGGAAGCGTGAACGGTAGGAGAATGCCCTCCCCACGACAAAAGTCCCGCAAGAGGTCGGAGGAGAACTCACCACCTCTGTCAGAGTGCATACGCAGGACAGGAAGGTCCTCACGGAACCGCTCGCGGAGCTGGAGACGGACTGCGCGGATCCAAGGGATCAAGACATCAGGGACCTCACTCTTGCTGCGCAAAGGGAAGAGCGTGGTGTAACGCGTGTAGTTGTCAACAACCAGCAGGAAGTTGCGCTCGCGGTCCTGTCCACTGACGCGGGCTGGGCCCCACACGTCCATGTGGAGAGTCTGCATGGGAGCAGTCGTCGGGGGAAATAAGGAGGAGTGAGGAGCGGCGCACTGCCGCCCCTTGATGCAAGGAAGGCAGGGCGGGGCAGGCGAGGGCGGGAGGGGAGGCGGAGACCTGGGAAGACCAGAAACAAGGAGGCGGGAGTGCATGCCACAAAGGCGTGGCAGGGAGGGGTGACCCAGGCGGTGGTGTCAAAGGAGAGTCTGGTGCGACAGGAAGCAACATGAGCAGGGGGCTGCTACCGGACCTGACGCGGACACTTGAGCAGACGCAACTACATGAGGAGGCTCAGTACTCAGTGTGTACAGACTCGACCCAGGCCGATGGGTGAACGTGGCCAGGTGACGGCCCGTCCGTGTACACGTGCAGATCGACACACGCTGACCCCCAGGAGTGGTGGTAGTGACCATCGCATCCTGGAGGGCAGCGGTACTCACCAAGTTAGTAGAGAACGAGGGGAGGTGAAGACCTGAGAGTGAGCCGGACGGAACCGCCGGACACGGGAGAACAGTGGAGGAACGTGCAAGAACTGGGGCCCCTGAGGGGTCAGCCAGTCTGACTGGAACAGGTGCAGGGAGTGGAGTGAGGGTGGTACTCTCGCGAAAGAAACAGCGGGAAGCACCTGAGTCAAGTGTGAAGGTGTGTAAGGCTTCAGCAGGCGCAGTACCAGGGAGAGCAGACTCACTAGCACCTAGAGCAGCAGCCTCTATACCTGGGTCGGGCGGCACACACAGGTAATAGTCACTCCCAGCACTAACAGACAAGGCATACATGGTAGCAAGGATAGCATCATAGTCATGAGCTTAGATATCAACTCCAGACCTAAGCAGCTCTAGCCAACGGGGGCGCTCAGCCTCGTGGCCAAACTCTGCATGCCAAACATCGTCAAGGCGGGAGAAGCAGCGGTGCTGTGTGTGAAACTTCCCGCATGTCTGACCAGCGCGGTCACCTGTGCGAATGACATACGGGCAGCGAACACTAACCCCAGACGTCCCACGCTGAGCAAACCACTCACGAAGCTGCTGGGGCGTAGGGGTCTCGCTCCGACGCTGCTGCTGCTGCCTCTGGACACCGCCAGAACCTCCCCTCTGAACAGCTCCACCCCGACCGCCACCACTGCCGCCGCCACCACTCCCACTGCCGCCACCACCGCCACCCCCACCCCCACCGCTGCCACCACCGCCGCCACCGAAGCCCCCATTCCCGCCACCACTCCCACCGCTGCCACCACCTCCGCCACCTCCTCAGCCTCCACCGCCTCCACCACCACCACCCCCGCTGCCATTGCCACCACTCTTGCCACCCTTGCCCTTGCTGCTGCGGCGCTTCCCATTAAGAGCAGAAGCAGCCCCGACATCCTCAGTACCAAGGATGTCAACAGCAGCAGTAGAAGTGTAGGAGGGGGCAAGAGGGGAGGGGGAACACCCCTCAAAGAAGGGTGTGTGAGGAGTGCCACGAGCAGCACCTACAGCGACTACACTAGTCTCAGCTGCAAGGAGGTGCTTCTCGAGCAGGTCGAGAGTGAGGTATGTGGGGTCAAGTGCGAGAAAGTGGTCCCTTACTGCGCGAAGAGAGTCAAGGAGGTGGGTGACTATGAAGTAGAGAGTGATGTTCATCGGGGGCGGGTTCTTTTCTAGGAACTCGGCTGGGAGGGCAGCGCGGCAGCGAGTGTCGCTAGTGCGAAGGTGGGTAATGAGGTCCTCGACTGTGGAAAAGGCTGACAGCTCAGGAAAAAGGTAGGTTAGCATAAGGCGGCCGAGAGCAGCAGTGGCAGGGGAAGAGTAACGAGCGACTACAGCGTCGTATATGGCTTTAGCAGTCTTGTGCTGGCCAAAGTGAGCGCGTTCGGCTAACGGCAGGTGGTTGCGAACGGCTAAGCGAGCAGCAGCGTCACGGGTAAGCCACTGTGAGCGAGTCGCACTGTCAGCTGTGGCCAGAGGGGCGAGAGAGGCTCCAGATGTGTGGTCAAACAATGAAACGCTGTCTCTAGAATCGCTCAGTAGGTACAGTTGTAAGTCGTCGAGCCACGTATCGAACTGGATCGGACGGCCCTCATGATCGAAGGTGAGAACACTGAGAGAAGCCATAGCGGGCAGAGCAGGATGGCGCTCGAGCAGCAGGGCAGCACGCAGGCAGGGCGGCGCACGAGCACTGGGGAAGCGCGCAGGGCAGGGAAAGGCGGCGCACGGCTAGGGAAGAGCGGCGCGCGGCCAGGGCAGGGCAGTGCAATGGCAGGGCAGGGCGGCGGCCAGCAGGGCGACGCGCGGGCAGCAGGGCGTCGGCCAGCATGGCGGCGCGCAGCAGGGCGGGCAGCAGCAGGGCGGCACGGGCAGGGCGGTGCGGGCAGCGGTGCGGCTGCCAGCAGGGCGGCGCGTGGGCAGCAGGAATTCTAGTTCATAGTTCATAGTTCATTCTTTCCTGCAGAGTGATTCTGACATAAGTCAATGGTGCACTTCAGTAAATCAGTTTGATATGATAGGATAGGGCAGGGATGAGTCAAAGGTGTTATGGAGCATTTTGGACTACTGTAGTGTGCCTCTCCCTTAATTAGCAGTTAGCAGAGTTTTCCCTTACAGAAAATGATTGTGTCATGACATACACTCTATTACGTATCATGGGTGATGGTGCAAAGAGTGTCAATGACACCCCACTTGCTTGCAGGGATGGCAAACTGAACCAGATTATATTTAGCAAAGAATTGAACAGACGCCCTCAGCCTCCCATGTCAGCTGAGGATTTAAACAAATAGCAACACATAAGGGATGACCGGTTTCTACAGCTTCTCATCCCTCTCATAGAACACTACGTTCCCCTCACTTGGGACATAGTGATCCTCACTGAAAGACTTATAGAGGGGCCTGTATAGGTGGGTGGGAATTGGGCCAGGGCTGGGTTCGGGCTCACGGTAGTATTCTCCCATAACTGGCTTCACCGCCGCCGTCTGCATCAACGAGACAGCAAGGTACAGTGAGCTTGATGTGCACATTGTATCAGCAGAATTGGCCAAGGTTGGCTTGCTTGAGAGCTTTAGTAGTGATCATAGCATGTGCAAACTCACCGCTTCAGTAAGGTTGTAGTGGGGAATTTGAGGGAACAGATGATGAACCACGTGCGTTCCAATGTCGTGATGAATCTTATTGAAGATACCATAGTCCCTGTCAATGGTCGACAGCCCACCCCTCATGTAGTTCCACTCCTGCAGGGATAAAGATTAAAGATCGTGCTTTATGTTTTATTCATGTACTCATATTTTATCGAGTAAATAAAGATCGTGCTTAAACGGAAACAGGAATTTCATGTAGTTCTACTACTGCAGGGGTAGACTTTGAAAACCAAAGCTCTGTGGGTTTCTTACCTCGCCTCTGTACCACGGAACCTTCTTGTCATAACCGTGGTGGTGCAGGTAGGTAACAACATCAAGCCATACAACATTGATCTGCATGACGAGGCACATACGGTTGAAGGGTATAATAAGGTCAGTAATTGCGAGAAAAACAAGACAGGTTGTTAGAATCCAATCCGCGCATGTCTTACCCAGTAAGGTACGACGTAGAGCTTGAAAATCGAAACGGGTCCCATGAAGACCGTGAGAGCGGCCAGAATTCCCATCATGGTCCACCAGCAAGTCGCAGAGGTCGTGACGTCGTCTTTCTCATTGGGAGTGAAAAGGTCGCAGTTCGGGTCGAAATGCGAACCGTCCTTGCCAGGGCTTCGCTTCCACTGAGGACACAAGAAACAATTTGGTCAAAGTCTAGCGAGGCGAAGGTAACAAGAGCAGCGTTCGAAATATTCATGGTCGGTAAGTACCAAGTAAAACGGGTAGGCGAAGAGAGGCCACGGGAACTTGAGTCGGCCAACCTTGGACCAGAACTCCATCTGGTCGTACTTGTCCTTCGTGATCTGCGCATCGAGCGTGTTGGCAAGTTAGTTCAACCTTCCAAAGATTCATCAACAAAGCTTTCCACAACTTATACGTACTGGGTGCCAGGATTCGTCATTTTCAACGTGGCCGTGGTTGGCGTGATGTGTGCGGTGGCTAATTCTCCTGTTAACACGAAAACCAATGGTGAGTGACCAGTTAAAGCGAGGGTTTAACGGAAGGACAACATCGGCGCTAGTTCACCGGTAATTTCGATCGCTACTCACCATCCGTGGTACGGCACGAGAATTGAGGAATGAGTTAAATGGCCAACGACGTCGTTCAGAGCCTTGTTGTTGGAGAAACTTCCGTGGCCACTGTGGAGAGGGAACGCACATCGCAGATGTGGAAATTGTTATTATCAATTTTGTTTTCCGACGTAAAGCATAATGTATGTTCAGATTCCTTCCAAAATGTGAAAGCGGCACTCTCGCTCCAGAACGTACCAGTCGTGACCAATGACGAAGAGCGCCCAGAACATGGTACCCTGAGCAATCCAGTAAATTGGCCAGATCCACCATTGGTCCACCGCTTGAGCGACAGCAGCCATGCCGAACACCACGGCGACGTCCCACACGAGGTACGCCATGGACTTCAGTGCGTCCTTCTCCCAGCAGTGCTTCGGGATCGCCGCGCGGATATCCGCCAGCGTGAATGGCGGAGGAGCCGAGGCATCGAAGTCTAGGTTGGATTGCGGCTCCTTGGGGTCGTCGCCGCGAGTCATAGCCGGCGGCGGAGCCAGCACCATGCTGATCTGAGGACGAGCATTCTTGACCAATGTGGCGGTTTTAGGAGCACGGAACTTCTGGCCGCCAATCCGGCTGACGGACGCGATCTGGCGGGTCTTGCTGCTAGTGCTGAGGCCTGCAGCGTAGCTGAGGCCCGTTCTGCAGGCTGTAGATGCAGCCATGGCGTGGTTCCCGCAACAGGAAGTCTTCACAAAACCAGAGTCAGAAGTGGCTGTGCAGACTCCCTATGATCGCTCAGTAAACTGGATCAGAAGCCACGCGGAGCTCAATTCAAACCAATCCGTAGAAATTGTTGGTGTGTTTCCCTGAACACTGAGGCTTTGAGTGCCCGAAGATGCTACGTTTATATCTCGCGACCGCGTGACTCATTCCATGTGCGATAATTCGGGCCGTCCGATCAGAGCCAGAAGGCAGGGAGCCCTGAGATGAAACGGATGATGGATGGGTGGTTGACTGCTCTCGGGATGGTCTATTGGTCCCGCTCCCTTGGGAATTTCTGAGGGAAAACCACAAACTCGCAGCTACAATTGTGCGCCCCCTAGCTTGCCCATCGGGGCAATGATCGAGTCGCGATAGTGTAACGAGTACAGCGAAGCACGGCTTTCCACACGACTAATAGTTTGACACGTAGACCAGAAGAGCACCGTGGGCCGACGAATTGGTTGCCAGCTGTCCATAACCCGCAAATTCAGTCAAAAAGCTCGGGACGACCCTGGGCCAGGTTCTTTGCCTGAGGTCAGCATGACAAAGTGACGCGGAGGAGCACGCTCGCTACCATTGGTCGGTGCATGTTTGTGCTCCCCCACCACACATCAGAAGCCCGCCAAGTTGGAGCCAACCAGATACGCCCTTATCTCTTTGGTTTGGGTAGGCCGTGCTTTTTCGAAGTAAAAAATCTCTGTATTGGCTGAGATTGAAACACACGGATAACGGCGATAATATCAACAAGACGGTCCAGGAGAAACTCTCCAGATCTTAGTAACAAATTTCTCAGCCACCAGGCTAATTCCAGCACAATCAATGAAACCATAATGTGCCTCTGGACAAGAAAGTGACGGAGGATGGCATCCCCAGATGTGTGTCCAATCGTCAACATCCAACGCACAGAAGTGAGATTGTTTCAAATGAAGGCTAGTGAGTTGCGGTCATTAGCTGGCTGTGGGCGGCCACGTGTTGGTGTTGGTGGTCGTTGGGAGTTCAGTTCCTGTAGATGGGAGATAGAGAGATGAGATGACACAGAGAACCAAACAATCCACATCAGGGAGGGTACAAGAGGAGGAAGGGAGAAAAGGACAGCGAGTAAGGTGAGTGTTAATACAATGCAGAGAGAGATCATGAGCATGAGGGAGGGAGGGAGGCTCACCTGCATCCATTCATCCTGGTAGTCTGGCGATGAGTTACCCGAGTTGCCGGTGGGCGGCAACGGGTGGATCATCTTGGGGAACACAACAAGGTCCCTCCCTAGCACGAGAATGGCACCCGCATTGTTGGCCGTGCCTGCATGGGAGCAAACGTAGACAGGACAGTTGGAGGGAGGGAAGGGAGACAACAAGGGATGGAAGCAGGTTTGGTGATGGAAGCAGGGGAGGGAGAGAGTGAGCGTGCGTTTAGCATTTGCAATGGCAGAACTGCTATTGTGACTGTGAATGGCCGAAGCACTGACCACAGCAGTTAGTGGCGGAGAAGAGCGTGATAAGAAGGCCGGCAGCAAAGCGCACTTACCATTCACAAAAGCCGACCTGCTATTACGGCTCACAGCAGCAGCAGGCAAGAAGCACTGACCGCAGTAGTTAGTGGCGGAGAAGAGCGTGATGAGGTGGCAGACACTTGCACGCACACCAATACGCAGCACTCTGAGAGTCAGAGCAGCAGCGATGATTGAGGCAGCGATTGCACTCACCGCAGTAGTTGGTGGCGGAGAAGAGAGTGATGAGGTGGCCAGCAGCAAAGCGTTCAAAGCCGTCCATCACACACTCGTGCGCGCGGATGATGAGCTGCAGATCGTTGTTCTGACAGAACTCCATCACCCGGTCGGGCTGAGCAGGAAAGAGGGGAGATGTTTGCATTTCCAGGGAGTAGGAGGGACGCATGATAAACACACTCGTGCGCTCGGATGAAAAAGCTGCAGGTCGTTCTTCTGACAGAACTCCATCACCCGGTCGGGCTGAGCAGGAGGTCAAGGGAAATGTGCAAGGGACTGGGATAGATGAAATGGGAGTGCGAGAGGACAGCTTGATCAACACCCTTGTGCGCGCAAGTGACGAGCCGCCTGCAGGTCGTTGTTCTGACAGAACTCCATCACGCAGTCAGGCTGGACCGGAAGGGCATGGGGATGGGGATGGGAGTGGAACCCAATGCAAATCCCGGAGCTAAAAGCAAAGCAGATTCAGTTGCGAAAGAAAACTTCTTACAATTCTCCAGCACCATAGCATTGCGGTGCAAACTCACCCCGAATGTGACAAGGCCGGGTCCTCGTGCGTTGGGTCGGAGCCCCTCAATGCTGTCGTTCTCTGTGGGATCGGACCTGCATGCACACAAGAGAGGGGTGGGATTGGCATTATTGTGAGCATGTTTTGACTTCTCTCGAAGGTCGCTTCACAAGGCCCGGCCTGGTCCTTGGGCGTTTGGTCGGAGCCCCTCGATGCTGTCGTTCTCTGTGGGATCGGACCTGCATGCACACAAGGGAGGGGCGGGAATGGCATTCTTGTGAGCGCCTTTGAATTCTCTTGAAGGTCATTCCCGCCCCTGGCTGTTCGGAGAACCTTTTGAATTCTCTGTGGAATCTGACATGCACACACATGAAGAGGGCAGGGGAAGGGTGGGGTGTGTGGGTTGAGCTTTCGAGTGAGCGAATCTAAAGATGAGTCAAAGAGCCGAAACAGTGATTCATCAGAGGAGATCCATGAGAACCATCGACCCAGCCTCCATGCTGATGGGTCGCTGAAGCTCCTCTATCTGCGACACGTGCTGGATGGAGCGAAAAGAAGAGGTGTGATCCAGTGACTGACTCACCAGAGCAGGTCCATGAGGACCATTGACCCAGCCTCCATACTGATGGGCCTCTGAAGCTCCTCTATCTGCGACACGTGCTGAATGGACCGCCCAATGCCCCCGTGCATGCAGATGATCTTCTTCTCTATCAGCGCCGCCAGCGGCAGCCAGTTGAAGAGCTGGTTGATGCGCTGCCACGCCCAGATGCCTGCCTGCTCGCCCATGCGCTCGATGCACTCTATGCGGAACCCAAAGAGAGCGTTGATGTCGGCTGCTTCGTGGTTGCCGCGAATCAGATGCACGTTGCGCGGGTGCTCGATCTGCCATGGTACGGAAGGAGGGAGTTTTGCAGCATGGGGAAGGAAAAGGGGCGTTAAGGAGACATGTGTGTGTCTACCTCTCTAGTTGTGCACGGCTTCGGGTTGCCACGAATCAGATGCACGTTGTGCGGGTGCTCAATCTGCAGTGCCAAGGGGAGAGAGTGGTGGAAGTTGGAACATGGGAGAGAGTTGCAATGGATCAAAGCCCATGTTGAGCCATCTGCCATGCAGGAGAGGGTGCGGGGCAAGGGGGAATAAAGGTGGCGTGGCATATTCGGATTCTGGACAAGTGGGCTCACCTCTAGTATTGGCCAAAGATTGTGTGTGCGTGTGTGCGAGTGTGTGTGTGTGTGTGTGTGTGTGTGTGTGTGTGTGTGTGTGTGTGTGTGTGTGTGTGTGTGTGTGTGTGTGTGTGTGTGTGTTTGTTTTTCCACATCTTGAGAATTGACCTAAAAAGGTCCTTCGCCCACCTTGAGTGCAAGCAGCAGAATGATGGTCTCAAGGCTGTGTGCACCTCTGTCCACATAATCGCCCAGGAAAAGATAGTCTATGTACCTGGTGGAATTGGGGAGAGAGGGAAAGGGAGGGGGAAAGGCCAGTGAGGGAGGGAAGTGGGAGAGCGGAGGCACGGTGTTGTGCGCGCCTCTGTCCACAATCACTCAGAGTCTGTGGGCACTACGTGTACCTGGCGAGCAGGGAGAGGAGGGAGGGGTGGGGTGAGAGGGGTAAGGTTGGGAGGAAAACGAAGAGCAGCGAGGACATGATCAAAGTTTTAACAGTCGCGTACGTATGATACAGCCAAACAGGGAGGATGGTTGAGAGTGGTTGAAATGTGCTGCTGAAGGGGGTTGAAAGACCAGAAGCGAAAGGGCACGGCACTCACGCGATGTCACCGGCAGTGGAGGGCGAGCCGTACTCATCGAACAGGCGCATGAGATCTCCAAACTGGCCGTGCAGGTCACCAAAGATCTTCACTGGCGCCCGCACCTGGCGGATAGAGGGCGAAGAGGAGGTGGAACGATTGAGAGATATTGAGGGAGGCAATAGGCCAGATCATGCATCTCTCTACACCACCCCATGCACGTCCAACCCCACCATCACCCTATCAGACATACCCTCTCACACAATACCAGCAGCACACACACGCACATCCCCTCCCCCCCCTCCCCTGTGCTCCTGGCCCTACCTACTGCACAGAGCTACAGTGCTCGTGGGTACCTCACCTGCAGCACAGATGGCTCACTCTTGAAGATATTC